ACACACACACACACACACACACACACGTGCTGAGCCCAAATCAAGACAAACAGGCTCAAGTGTTTTATTTTACCACAGTTTAACCAGGAAAATCCAATTGAGATCTCAGATCTCTTTTTCAAGGGAGGCCTGGACCTGAACCTATTGTACATATTTTTGTGCTGTGGAGGAAACCGGAGTACCCGGAGAAAACCAACGCAAGCATGAGAACATGCAAACTGCACAGAAAGACCCCAGGTCTGAACCAGGGATCAAACCCAGGACCTTCTTGCTGTGAGGCGTCGGTGCTAACCACTGAGCCGTCYTGCAAAATGAATGATTCTTACACAGCTAGATGTTTACAGTTTTAATATACCTGATATAATTGATATTGGGTGACCCAAACATGAATAAATAAATACTGATGCAAAACAAAACCAAAAATGAAACGATGTTAATTATGTTATTCATTWATATATATTTTTTAAATATTTCAATCTGCTAAAACTGATAAAGAGGAATGGGTACAAGCTAAATGTGTAGGATTTATTCTGAAGGACCCTGCAAAATGAATGATTTTTTTTCTTAGCAAGCCACGTGACAGTCAGTTGATTATTTTAGTCAGAATAAACATTTACTTCGATAACTCATTGCAGACTTCTGATCCTCCAGGTTTATGTGGTGATGGAGCTCTGTCCGAACGGAGACGTCTCAAAGCTTATTGCTGCCAGAGGGACCCTGGACGAATATTTCAGCTGCAAACTTTTCCGGGAGATGTGCATGGCAGTCCAATATCTTCATAATATGAAAGTGGCCCACAGAGACCTTAAATGTGAAAACCTGCTACTGGACGTGCACGACAACCTCAAAGTGTGCGACTTTGGCCTCAGCAAGACCCTCACTTACYTTGACGACAAGATTGTACTTAGTGAAACCTTCTGTGGCACGACAAGCTACGCAGCACCAGAGATACTGAAATATCAGCCGTACGATCCCCAAGTGTCRGATGTGTGGAGTATGGGCGTGGTGTTGTATATGATGCTCTACGGACTGAGGCCTTTCAACACCACCAACCTTAAAAAGATGGTGAAAATTCAACTGGAACATAAAATTAACTTCCCAAACGCCCCGTTTGTTTCAGCTGAAGCAAAGAAACTCATCAGAGACATTTTGCACCCAGATGTAGAGCAYCGGATCAAAATCAGTGGCATATTGCAGAGCTCCTGGTTGGTCAAAGGAAATAAAATGGAAGAGTGTAACGAGGCCTCGACATCGACAGCAAATACTGAATAGAGAGCACTTCCGTTAAAGTCCAGTTAACAGCTGTTATCAAAAACAGTTCAGAAGAAGGACCATTAACTTCTGGGCCCCACCCCAAAATGACAAAAATCTCAAACATAAAATAAAAAATATGTTTAACTCCAAATAAATTCACTTAACTGCACAACACATCACATGAGTTTGTTTTAAGATTCAACTCTTTATCAGGTTAAAGAACTTTTTGCTTRTGACATCAAGAAGTAGACAATTATTTTAGTTGTAAGTTTATGCATCTATGGAAGCACAACATGTTTGTTGGATGATTGTGTCAGCATCACWGTTTCTGCTTTGAGCAGACCTGCTGTGCTGGAGATTAAGAAAAAGGCCAAGTTCCTTTGCTTCCTTTGATTAAAAAAAATGCTTAAATAAAAACTGTTTTAGTTCRATGCTTTATAAAGATTATGCATGCTGTACGGTAGTTTCCTTGCAAAACAAATTACATTATTGTTATGATTTGTCATGAAATACAGTATAACAAGAGGCAGCTTTCAGCAGTAACAATTGTGTCGAGAACAACAAGAGTCTAAGATGGCTAATCCCAAAAACAGTTTGTTTAAGCAAAAGGTCTTTCACATTATGTGTAGCACTTAGGGTATGTGTTAGGGATGATTATCAGCTACTGCCCCACACAGTCTTAGCTTGAAATTGTCGGTCACAGTTTTTTTTTTTTCAAAACTTCATTTTTTAATTTATCTAACATGTCAGAGCCTGTATGATGATTTAAAAAACAATAAATAACATCAAATAACCATCTTCCAACCTGTTCTGCTGCTAGAAATAAYTTCTGGACTTTTTCCGCTCTCCTTTTCWCCTGCTCCGCATCCTGTACGGATTTTTAACAAAACTTACGGATTTTTGAGGCTCTTCTTTATACAGATAAATGTCCAAAGGGGTTGACKTGTATGCATCTTGTTCATCAGCTATACAATTTTATTTTATTCAAATATCTTTGAAATTCAGTTTAACTATCTGGCAATAATAATTTTCAAAACAGCTGCAGTCATATGTCTTATGCATCACTCCAATGGTAAATTAAAGCTTGATGAATGTTTCACTATCAAGTGCAATTGCTAAAGATTAATTCTTGTGTGCACAAGATGAAAACAATCAATACTTCCTAGGCTGTGTCCATAAAATTGATTTTTTTTTCATGTTTTTATTATAAGATATGATATAATTTTATCATTTTTATTGTTCTAATACATCATCTTTTTAATTGTGTTCTTAGAACAGTCTTTCAACATACTGAACATGGGACTAGTAGAGCATAAACATTGCTTTTACTTTGAAAACCGGAAATGACCGTGTTTACATTTTAACGGACTGCGCTTTTTAGTGGCTCGCTACGCCAATTTAGGCCTATTCTCAATTACATATACACATGACTTTGTGCGTAAGAGTAGTCCAATGTAAGGCCCCTATTTTCCGCGCTTTTTTTATTATTAATTTTTTTTTTTCGTGTAAATTGCAGTGTTGATATAAAAACGCTGGTGGTCGATATTTTAGCCCTGTATTCAGGGGCCCTGAGGGGAAAATCCGCTGAAGATTACGAAAAACACTATCCCATCACATCACGCAGTGTTTATCATGGCTCGACCACGGCCGCGGGAGTACAAGGCGGGGGACCTGGTTTTCGCTAAGATGAAAGGATACCCGCACTGGCCGGCGCGGGTGAGTCCAGAATGTATCCGGGCTGAGGGCGCAGCGAGGCGGTGTGGGTTTACGCTGCACGGCCGCTGCTTCGATGCGGCGGGGACTGCACAGCCGCGTTCAGCTCTCTGTATCTGGGCAGCAGCGGACAGGTGTTCTGGCTGCTTTTATCAATGTAATCTTAAAATAATGGCGGGGAGCTGCATGTCTTCCCTCCACACGGCTCGTGCTTCGGTTCTTACGTCAATGTTTTTGCTTCATGAGTGGAATAAACAAACCAGCAGCTGACCTCAAGTAACCTTTAACACTAGTTGTAATATTAATTGAAACAACTCTTTGATAAAAACCGACTTGTGTACATAAAGGATGGGCTTGAATGCAGGTTTGTCATTCATTCATTCATTCATTCATTCATTCATTCGTTCATTCATTCATTCATTCATTCATTCATTCAATCTATATCTGACTACAGTTTTTTTTGAGCTTTTGCAAGATTGTGAGAACAGCATTTTACTGTGAATGTCAGAACTTATTATTGTAGTGCCTTGAATATGATAAACATTTATTACTTCACAAAACTTCACATTCCTCCATCATTAAAAATGGGTAATCTGCATTTTGTAATATTTTCTCATTTATCCTTCAGATTGATGAGCTTCCAGAAGGAGCTGTCAAACCGCCTGCCAACAAGTACCCAATCTTCTTCTTTGGGACTCATGAAACGTATGCAATCAATTAATTAATTAATTAATTTATTTATTTATTTATTTATTTATTTATTTATTTATTTATTTAAGCATGGCTCCTATAATCTTCAGAGTTTATGATTAAGTTATGTGTATGAAAAAGATGTAATATCGTCTCAAAAAGCTGAAATGTCAACACGCTGTTGTACTTATTAGGGAAAAGTTTCTTTTAAAGTTTGGGAAAGTATTTCTGCATGCCTGTACACCAAGGGCCACACAGAGAGGTGTTCAATACACTAACATTGCATTTCTGAAAATAACTGCTCTCTTTCAGCAGTACAGCTTAAACCTTTTTTTTTCTTTCTTTCTTTCTTTTTTTCTTTGCCAGAATATATAATAGACCATTTCATAGTTTTCTGCGCACACTGCATTGTGGTTAGGGGTAAACAAACCAGCATCAATATAAGGTTTGACAGATGCAACTGCTGTTTACCTGATATATTTTTTTATTAATTCTGGCAAAGAAAATACTAAATGAGGTTAAATGTTGGAGTGTCAGTTTGAAGTTTTTATAATAAAAACCTAATTTTGTTACTTGTGACAACTTAATTTTTAACAAGATTATTATTATGATATCATTTTTTGCATTTACCAATAAAATGTAACTACTGCTTTCATTGTTTAGTTTTTCAGTTCACTTTGAAATTCATTCCTCTTATCTGCTCTTACCCACACAGATGAACTGAGCACTACAAGATTTTCAAAATATTGGATTATTTTAGGTCCTACTTTACCAAATTACCCAGCAGTTAGTTGGCATTTCTGCTCATGTGATTAGGCTCTACATAGCAAAATGTACTCTCAACTATGGTAAGAAAAACAACAAGAACCATCTTCAAAAGGCCTAGCATTCTTTTTATATACATCACCTGTCACTGTTTATATCAGAGTTTTAAACTAAGACCGTATCATGTTGAGATATAGAATTATATTTATTTGCCATTATTGGCACAGKTTTCCTTAATTTTGGGAAATCGGCAATCTGCCGATACTAGATAAGATCAGTAGGAAAGATCAGCTTCTCATCTGCCTCAACAAAGGTCTGAAAATCAGCCACTTTCCCCCTTTTGCCCATGAGCACTACCTCATGTCCAGTTAAAACAAGTTTGTATTGTTTCAGAGGTATTGCTCAGTTTTTCAATAAAATAAGWTTGGAACATTAAAAGTGTATTGAGACCTTATAACACCTGACAGAGTCAGTTGTTTAAAAAAATCAGGCCAAAATCAGAATRGGCAGGTCTAGACTTTTTAAAGATCAATGGTTGGCCAGAAAACTGCCATCAGTGCAGCCCAACTCAAAACATGTGTTATTATATACATCTTTGTTTTGGCTAAAGATGATCAGCTGAGGCAGCCAGGGATGACTTCAAATAATGTGACAGTGACCGTTTTGATCAAATATCTTGTGAGATCAGTTAGCCTTCAGAGGATGTGTTGAAGATAACTCTCAGCTACTACCTCATCAAAGGTTAGCTCAATATCTGGATGAAACTATTGGTGTAAAACTGGTTGAGTTATAGCCATTTTATGTAAAGTTTGATTAGTTGAGGTGAACCTATTGAATCTGGTTGACTCCAGAAGCCAGCTTTAGAAAATCACCCAATGATAACTTCTTATGACTGTCATTAAATACATGCAATGGTTCATGAGATGTTTTACTAACACTACTTATAAACACGCACACAGACGTGTAAAAAACGTATCACCCACTTATCAGCAGCGGGCAATTTAAATCAGGGATTTGAACAAAAATAAATCAAACACATAAAGAAAGATTCTTTGCTAAATTAATACATTTATATTTCAAAACTGTAACTACTAATTACCAGGTGAAATAAGCYTGTCTTTCTCTCCTTTAGTGCATTCTTGGGTCCAAAGGATCTTCTGCCCTATAAAGAGTATAAAGACAAATTTGGTAAATCTAACAAGAGGAAAGGTTTCAACGAAGGCCTCTGGGAGATCGAGAACAACCCCGGAGTCAAGTTCACCGGTTATCGGGTCAGTGATTTAGAGAAAATCTGTAGAAAACCAGGCAGCTTTGATATTTACTAAAACTGGAATGTAGCCAAAGAGACGGTGAGTGAGAAAGAAGGTGCTGTATTTACTGTGGTGGTGTTTTATTTTTTATTTTATTTTTGGCAAACAGGCGATCCAGCAACAAAGCTCATCAGAAACAGAGGTGGAGAGAAACACTGCTGACGGCAGCAGTGAGGGGGAGGAAGGCGACTCCATCAAGGAGGAAGATGACAAGGAGAAGCTGAAGGGAGACAAGACGGGATCTAAGCGGAAAAAAACAGCCACAACTAAGGTGACCGTTTTACTACAGGTATTATTTACCAATAAGCAACAAGCAAATTAAGTCATCACAGAGATTTTGAAGTTATAGTTGCAGTATCTGTAGATGTTGATTTATTCTCATTTTATTAAAAAATGGTACTACTTAGGGAAAACTGTGATGTTTTTGAWGGAAAGTGACTCCGTCAGGAATGAAGTCAGATAGAATTCGTGTTGGCTCAGCGCAATCAAAWGTTCTTACAGCTCAGCTTCACAGCAAAGTGTGGAACATGCTCGATAACTTAAGACTGAGGTTCTCGAACTGGGGTCCCAGGACCCCCAGGGGTCTGCGAGCCGTATCTTGTGGTTCCTTAAAAATTTTCAATAAATTGTTAATTTGATTTTTATTTTTAAAAAATGCGTATGGGGAAAAAATGCACTAGTGAAACAAACAGATTAAACCAGACAAAAGATAATATTCGCATGGCATTAGGAGTTAAAATGTAAGTAAATTATTTTAGAAACAGGGTTTATAAGGGGGTCCTTGGATATTTTTCACCCTTGTTAGGGGTCCACAGACCCAAAACGTTAGAGAACCCCTGACTTAGGAGCCATTCTCATGGGTTTTTGTGAATGCTCTAAGGCATGTGTCCACACAGAAACAGTTTTTTAGAAGCCAAAATAATTATTTTTTTTGAAAACAGGTTCCTGAGTGAAAAAAATAAAATAAAAAATTAAAGAAATTGTGAAACACCACCATTGCCTTTTCATGGAGACAGCCAAAAAGCAACATTATGAAAACAATATTGGAGCTCCATCTCTAACCTAGCCTATGACTCAGTGTGTAAGCTTTATGTGCATGCTTCCCACCTTGTTTCCTGTTTTAGGTGTATTTCTGTGGTGGCTGTACAGCGCCACCTACAAGCCTGGTATAGTTACAGCAGAATTTGGTCTTGTCTTTTAGTGGATGAAGACATCTTTAGAAAGGGCACTGTGTTTATTGGGATATGTCAGATATAAGGATCGTTTTGGAAAACAGTGTTTTCTTGTAGACAAGGCCATTATGCATGTGCGGCTGAAAAACAGAAACCAGATACGAATCCTGCTCTCTTTAACAGCTGTATCTGTTGCTCTTTCCGTCTCACTCGCTGACCACTGAATGTAGATTGTGTTTTCAGTTAAATATGAAGCAACAGTTCTGTTTGTGTTTGTGATGATGACATTAGAGGTTGACCAGTCAGAGTGCTTCAATGCTGGTGCCATTTGTTTAAAAAACAGAATGGCCAGTAACCGGTTTGTCCTGTATGGTTGATTTACTGATTTTACTATAAATATAATATATTTAAATCTAGAACATTGTACAATATTTTGGAATTAAAAAACTGGGTAAATATTTAGTCAGGTGTGTGATAGTGAAACGTAGGAACATTACAGGGCTCGGGACAAACTGATTAAAATAAAAATAATATTGTTTTGTCTCTTTATACAGTCTGCCCCTCATATCTAAACCCATATTACACTAGAGAGGATGTGACCATTGACTTTGTTTAGAAACCACACACTGTAAACACGTTTAATTACCAGAGAATAATGTTAAGCATAAAGTTACTAAATAGTTTCATTATTTCTGTGGATTTGCCAGCATTGTGCCAATAAACGCAGCTGTTGATATAAGCTGTCTTGTTGTAGGACGTATGTTAACACTGTCAACACTGTGCTGCCTACAGATATGCCTGTCTTTAAATCAGCATCATTAACAATCAGTATCTTCAGACAGTGCTAAAGCTAATTAAAAATGAATAAATCAATATTTTCTTAATTAGTTGGCTGACTCAGTTAGGTTAGCTGTGCACTGCATCACAAAGTAATGTTGGTGTGTTTGTTATTCTTAGCACTCGTAAAAAAAGTAAAAAAGTAAAACATCAGTAGAAACAAACAGATTGCATTATTTTATGCATTATTTGCAATGATTGCTTTTCAACATGTTTTTATTATTATTAAGTTTGACATTGTAAAATTAAAACGTGTTTAGAACAAGACAATGAATGAATGAATGAATGAATGAATGAATGAATGAATGAATGAATGAATGAATGAATGAATGAATGAATACTTTATTTATCCCTGAGGGAAATAAATTCGTCACAACAGCAGACAAATACATTTCATTTTATAAAATAAAATAAAAACAGAAATACCATTCCATAATTTTAAAATAACATTATAATTTTACATAAAGATGAGCTGTTAAACATTAAATAATAATTATTTTTGACGTTCCTGAAATCCCKCGAACAACCGGAGTTTAATGAATTTCACTCATTTTTCACACCGGCTCATCCCTGCTGCCCCTCTCATCTTCTGCTTTTTATTTTTAGTAACGTTGTTTTTCTAATTGATGGAGCTCTTCAGCAGTGACTGTATMTGTGTGTGTGCTGCTGTAAATGAAGGCAGGCTCAAAGTCACACGCATGCAGCTCTTCCCTCAGCAACAACAGTTGCCTAGCAACTGGCCTCCATCATTTTACATCAGGCACATGTGGTGCATACAGAGGAATGTAGTGGTCCTTTAAAGCACGGCGTTGGGCACATCATTACTACACTGTAAGGGTGTGTGTGGGTGAGAGAGAGAGAGAGTGTGTGCAGGCATGTGCACAAAACGATAAGATTTATAAGTGAACTAGAATATCCTAATCTCAGGGGGCTAATGCATCKGATGGATTCATTTATATTTTTCCTCTCTCCATTTAGGATTTTTTTTTCACACTGGACATCTGGAGACTGCCAGACCTCAGCATTGCATTTACTGTCATGCTTTTGCATTTATCTGCTAGTGATTTTGAAACAGAAGTTAAGATCTGAAACCAAACAAAGGAGCAACATTTCTAAGAAAGAGCAGATGAAACTGAGTTTGTCTGTGGAAARACACAGTTGTTTTCTAATCATACCAGGTCAATAACTTTCTTAATATTTGCTGAAGACATATTACTTTCAAATGCTTCAATGCTGTGTCAGCAAGAGTCTCAAACAAATTTATTGCTCTAAAATAAAATATTGAAATAAATACCTACGGTAATTAATTATTTTAAACTTATATATTTTTGGGGAGAGCAATGGGCTCACTTATGAGACCCCCTCTCATATGGGTTCTTTATCCATTCCCACTCTCCAAACCATCAGAGAACAGTCTTTAACTAGTTCTAAATGCAGATACAAAACCTAAGATTCCCACCCACTTGTCAAGTATTTGGGGATGGTAGCTGAGGAACCTTTTTTAAGTATCTCGGGGTCTTGTTCATAAATGAGGGAAGACTGGAGCGGGAGATCGACAGGTGGATTGGTGCTGCATCTGCAGTGATACAGGTGTTGTACCGGTCTGTCGTGGTGAAGCGAGAGCTGAGCCAGAAGGCAAAGCTCTCGGTTTACCYGTCGGTCTACGTTCCTACCCTCATCTATGGTCACAAGCTTTGTGTAGTGACCCAAAGAACGAGATCYRGGATACAAGCYGCRGAAATGAGTTTCCTRRGCAGGGTGMCTGGGCTCTCCCTTAGAGATAGGGTGAGAAGCTCAGTCATCCGGGAGGGACTCAGAGTAGAGCCGCTGCTCCTCCARGTCGAGAGGAGCCAGTTGAGGTGGTTCATCTGGTTAGGATGCCTCCAGGACGCCTCCCTGGTGAGGTGTTCCGGGCACGTCCCACTGGGAGGAGGCCCAGAGGAAGACCCAGGACACGCTGGAGGGACTATGTCTCTCGGCTGGCCTGGGAACACCTTGGGATTCCCCCGGATGAGCTGGACCAAGTGGCTGGGGAGAGGGAAGTCTGGGTCTCTCTGCTTAGGCTGCTGCCCCCGCGACCCGATCCCAGATAAGTGGAAGAAAACAGAAGGATGGACTGACCTGGGGAATCCAATCAGGCACAGCTGTTGCCACCCCTGAATACGAGACTCCTTTACATTTCAGTTGGCTCTCTTTCTCCTCAGACTTGGTGACTTTATCCTCTATAAAATGATGTTCTGTCACTAAACTTTATTTTCT